TGGTTCGAGTCCCGGCTACGCTGCTTCTGACTCTGCTTCCTGCTCGTGCACCTGGGAAGGCAGCGCATGACGTCCCAAGGGCTTGGCCCCTGCGGGAGACCAGGATAGATTCCTGGCTCCTGCCTTCAGCCTGGCCCAGATTTGGCTGTTGTGGCCGTTTGGGGAGTAAACCAGTGGAGGAAAGGTATCTTTCTCTCTGTCTCTCCTCCTCTCTCTCTTGCTCTGCCTTTTGCATAAATAAATAATCTTTTGGGAAAGAGAAGTAACACTGCTTTTACTTTGGGGCTATCTTTACAGTCTTGGGTGTGAGTGCACATTACATGTGTATGCACACTTTTTTTAAAAGTCAAAACTGGAGTAACAGTTTCCGTGTTTTAAAATGTTTATTTAATCAGAACTAAATGTTGTTTCATTTCCTTTTAGCATTTTTTATTTTTATTTATTTATTTATTTATTTTTTACAGGCAGAGTGGACAGTGAGAGAGAGACAGAGAGAAAGGTCTTCCTTTACTGTTGGTTCACCCTCCAATGGCCGCCACGGCCGGCGCACTGCGCTGATCCGATGGCAGGAGCCAGGTGCTTCTCCTGGTCTCCCATGGGGTGCAGGGCCCAAACACTTGGGCCATCCTCCACTGCACTCCCTGGCCACAGCAGAGAGCTGGCCTGGAAGAGGGGCAACCAGGACAGAATCCGGTGCCCCGACCAGGACTAGAACCCGGTGTGCCGGCGCCGCAAGGCGGAGGATTAGCCTAGTGAGCCACGGCGCCGGCCTAGCATATTCTTATAATGCATGATTTTAAAACTATACTGCCAGCTGTCTGGTGTCATGGCTAAGGCGATGCTTGCGACACCCACATGCCCTGTCTGAGGGCCTGGGTTCTTGTCCTGATTCCAGCTGCCTGCTAACATACACCCTGGGCAGCAGTAGGGGATGGCGCAGGCAGTGCTCAGGCAGAGCCCAGGTCCTCTCTTCAGCCAGACCCAGTGCTGGGTATTGCAGACATTTGGGACACAAGCCAGCAGACGGGAGATCTGTCTGTCTGTCTGCCTGTCTCTTGTCTCTTGTCTCTTGCCTTGCAAACAAAGTAATTAAAATTTTTTTTTAATTTTATAAAAAGCCAGGTTTTTCAAAGACTATTGACATTCAGAATCTGCATGTATTGACAGAAATTCCCTCCTTGACTGCACTATTGCCGTTGTCCTCTACTGCCTTCCCGGGTGCATTAGCAGGGAGCTGGACTGGAAGCAGAGCAGCCGGGACATGAAGTGGAGCCCGTATGGGATGCCGGAGGCTTAATGTAATACGCCACAGCACTGGCCCCCAGCAAATTTTTTAAAAAAGAATAAACAAGACCATATACTAATTAAAGTCGTAAGGTCATATTTTAATCAGGAAAACACAATTGCAGTAGGGAAAAAGAGTCCAGTGTGAACTGAATTCAACTTTGATTTGTCCAGAGGAGATTGGACATTTTGAAGTGATTGTCCATTGTATAATCTTCAATGTGGTATTTTAAAATTGGTGTATTCAATCGCGGTATACTTTTGCCAAAGTTCAAAGATATGAACAGTATATTTGGCTTGTTGCTTGAAATCAAAGAGTACAGCCTTTGATTTATGATACATCCATTCATCTATCGATGGACATTGGGATTTTTTTGGCTATTATAGAGTTGCAATGGACATTCACCAAGCCTCTATGTGGACATATGCTTTCTTTTCTTGGGTAAATATTGAGGAGTGGGATGGCTGGATTCCATGGTAGGTGTAATAATAAATTATTTATTTATTATTTATTATTTCTAGCTTATTTGAAAGGTGGTGATACAGAGACTGAGAGCAATTTCCCATCCACTGGTTCAACTCCTCAAATGTTTGAACAGCCAGGGCTGGATCAGGCCAAATCCAGGAAGCAGGGATTCAATCCAGGTCTCCCTCATGGGGTTGTGGACCCAGGGACTTGAGCCGTCTTCTGCCTCCCAGCGTGCACATTAGCAGGGAGCTGGAATGGAGAGCAGAGTTGGGACCTGAACCCAGCCATTCCAGGAAAGACTGGGAGCCTCCCAGGTGACAGCTTAACCTCTCCGCCAGACACCTGTTCCACATACGACTCTTCAAGTGCCTGTACAGGTCTTCATTTCTACTTTAAAAAGCTTTTATTTATTTGAGAGTTAGAGAAAGAAACAGACAGACATTTCTCATCTGCTCGTTCATTCCCCAAATGCCCACAGTAGCCAGGGCTGGGCTACGTCAAAGCCAGGAACCAGGAGCTCAATCAGAATATGAGCATCCCACAACCTTTTGAGCCACAATCTGCCACCTCCCAGGGTACACATTAGCAGGACACTGGAATCAGGAGCGAAGCTGGGGCTTGAACCCAGGCACTCTGATACCAGATGTGGGCGTCCCAAGTGGTGTCTTAACTACTATGCCAAATGCCTGCCACAAGAGATTCCATATTTTAACAGCACTGCCCTATTATTGGACATCTAAACCCTCTGAGTGTTCACTATTATTGCAAATAGTATAATTCTTTTTAAAAAAAATATTTATTTACTTGAAAGGCAGAGTTACAGAGAGAGAGGAATAGACAGAGAGAGAGGGCTTCCATCTGCTGGTTCACTCCCCAAATGGCCACAATGGCCAGAGCTGGGTCGATCTGAAGCCAGGAGTCAGGAGCTTCTCCTGGATCACCCACATGGGTGCAGGAGCCCAAGTACTTGGGCCATCTTCTACTGCTTTCCCAGGCCATAGCCGGGAGCTTGATCAGAGGAGGAGCAGCCAGGACAAGAACCCCGTGCCCATATGGGATGCTGGTGCAGCAGGCAGATGCTTAACCCACTATGCCACAGCACCGGCCCCGCAAATGATCTAATTCTTTTATGGCTTAGGAATGTGGTTATAAATATTCAAGTAAAAACAAACAAGAAAACAAGTGGAAAAGTATTGTAAATGGAACCCAGAATTAAAGAGTGTGTGCTTAGGGGCCGGTGTTGTGGCAAATAGGAAAAGCTGCTGCCTGGGACAACAGCATCCCATATGGGCACAGGTTAAAGTCCTGGCTGCTCCACTTCCCATCCTGCTCCCTGCTATGGCCTGGGACAGCAGTAGAGGATGATCCAAGTGTCTGGGCCTCTGCACCCACATGGGAGACCCAGAGAGGCTCCTGGCTTTGGTCTGGACCAGTCCTGGCCATTGCTGCCAACCCGGGGGAGTGAACTAGAGGATGGAAGATTCTCTGTCTCTCTGTAACTCTTTCAAATAAATAAATAAATTTTTTATAGAGTGTGTGTAGATAATTTTGAGTTTGTCAGGGCTTGCAAAGCAAATATTTTGTGTCCTCTGCTGGGAAGTACAGCAGCATGAATCTTTAAAGGAACCGTGTTTTGTTTTGTTTTGTTTTGTTTTGTTTTGTTTTGTTTTGTTTTTGGACAGGCAGAGTTAGACAGTGGAGAGAGAGACAGAGAGATAGGCCTTCCTTCTGTTGGTTCACCCCCCCAAATGGCCGCCATGATCCGAAGCCAGGAGCCAGGTGCTTCCTCCCGGTCTCCCATGCGGGTGTAGGGCCCAAGGACTTGGGCCATCCTCCACTGCCTTCCTGGGCCACAGCAGAGAGCTGGACTGGAAGAGGAGCAACTGGGACAGAACCAGTGCCCCAACCAGGACTAGAACATGTGGTGCCAGCGCCGCAGGTGGAGGATTAGCCAAGTGAGCTGCAGCGCCGGCCCTATTTTTTTATTTGACTTTGGAGTTTACCTTGGAAGCTCTGCTATTTTGCTGTCACAGTTTGGGACCATGATTTCATCACATTCCCTATGAGGCAATTGCAAGAAACTTGAGTGTGGTCTTTTATTTCTGGGAGCTGTAGTTAGCCATCTGGTAGACTTTACAGCAATTTGTTAAATTAAAAAAAATCTTAAAATGTAACATTTTACTCATCTCCCTCTCATTTTTCTGTGTCCTGCATGAGTGTATGGTGACACACAGATCTATACAGTGACAACTGTAGAAGTGACACAAAATGTTTACAGAATGCTAAGAAAATGCTTGAGGGGCTGGCGCTGTGGCATAGCAGGCAAAGCCGCCGCCTGCAGTGCCGGCCTCCCACATGGGCGCTGGTTGGAGTCCCGGCTGCGCCACTTCCAATCCAGCTCTCAGCTATAGACTGGGAAAGCAGTAGAAGATGGCCCAAGTCCTTGGGCTCCTGCACTCGTGTGGGAGACCAGGAGGAAGCTCCTGGCTCCTGGCTTCGGATCAGTGCAGCTCCAGCCGTTGCGGCCATCTGGGGAGTGAGCCAGCAGTTGAAAGATCTGTCTCTCTCTCTGCCTCTTTCTGCCTCTGCCTCTCTGTAACTCTGTCTTTCAAATAAATAAATACATCTTAAAAAAAAAAAAAGAAAGAAAATGCTTGAGGGAAAAATGCCATGCAAAAAACAACAAAGACAACAACCCAAAAAAGACCCCAAAACCTAATTTATTCACAGATGCCAAAGCTGCGTTTTTTTTCTGTGCTATGTTTAGGGTCCTCTTCTAATAAAACAAAAGTTGTGTTTAGCCAACAGATTTTTAAACAGCAGGGACAAGCTTATTATTTACAGTTTTGGTATCTTTCGCTCATTTACATAAATACCCCAGAAACCAGCAGTTTAAAACCAATAAAAGCCAAGGCCCTCCATCAAGTGCAAACGAAGTTTCATAACCACGAGTTCGATTGTTGGACTGAAAAATAAAGTATGTACGCGGTTCTGGAGGGGTTTTTCTGGAAGTGTAGAGTCATATTTTAAACTTAGCACTTCCCTTGGAAGTAGCAAGGTGATCAGAATACTTACACGTTTATGCAGAGTGCTTCATCTCTGAAACTCTCCCCACGGTGGCCCATCTATCTTTTCTGCTTCCCCAAGGAGCAGCTCTTATTTGCTGCTGGTTTTTCTAGTTAGAAACTTGAGAGAGTTGTGACCAGATGCAGGGTGGGAGGGGGAGAGGGGAGGGGGGAGGGAGGCCTGTGGACTTAGGCTTCTCATCTTAGTGTTCTGTGGTCATTTGGGGTGTGATCTTAACAGAATGTCCCTGCCTCATGTTTGCTGAACGCCTTACTAAAGCAATCGTATAAATAGTAGCTCAGGGGCCGGTGCTGTGGTGCAGTATATCAAGCCTCTGCCTGTGGCTCCGGCATCCCATGTGGGTGCTGGTTCATGTCCTGACTGCTCCTCTTCCAATCCAGCTCCCTGCTAATGAGCCTGGGAAAGCATTGGAAGATGGCCCAAGTCATTGGGCCCCTGCACCCTCATGGGAGACCTGGAAGGAGCTCCTGGCTCCTGGCTTTGGGTCGGTTCAGCTCCAGCTGTTGAGGTCATTTGGGGAGTGAACCAACAGATGGAAGACCTCTCTCTCTCTCTGTGTCCTTGTCTCTGTCTGTAACTCTGCCTCTCAAATAAATAAATAAAAATCTTTTTTAAAAAAAAATAGTAGCTCAGCCTGCCTCAGGCTCTTAGGTATAGTGCTGACCTTCCCGTGACACACCTTGGGGAAGGAAGGAGACGTATAAAACGTGTGGAAGAACCACAGCACCTTCTACATGCCCTCACAATGATCCCACCAAGCTCCTTCTGGGAGGAAAGCAAAGCCTAATTCTCACCCCTTCCCCCAATCTCCACCCTCACATGATCAGATTTACCATGATTAGTAGCAACACCTTGAAGGGATTGAACACATTTGTTATGCACACCGAAGTCATAGCAACAGCAAAATAAAACTAATGAGAATTTACATTTTTGGAAAAAATAATTCACGTATGCTTGAGAAATTCTGAAAGAAAAACATTTAAATGTTACAATACTTGTTACCTTCCCCACACGGACAGTGTTGGGAATTAAGGAGACAATAAATGCAAAGTGCTTTGAGGTCTTTACAAGAAAGGTGCCAGATGAACACAAATGATTATTAATTGTTAAAGCCATCAGATGGTTACTAATCTACTACTTATCACAAAATACATATTGTTATACGTGAAAAATAGAATGCTTGCAATTCTTAGGGTGCCATTGCTGAAATAGTGCTCCCCAAATTCCTCTCTGGTTATTCCACATTTTGTGGTTGGAAGCCCATTCTTAACCCTTCTAGGGTTTCTTGACCTCCTATCCGTCTCTCAGAACCACGGACCGTGACTTCTAAACTCTCTTGCGCCTTCTGTCTTGGGTTTTCCATTGTGGTCTTACGCATCCATTGCCATAGAATTCCATTCTCACCGTTTTTTCTTCTCCGGATTTCTTCGATCACATAATTATGACGTCTTGTGATGCTGTCACCTGTACAAGTTTATTTCCTTTGCAGGACGTGTGTGCAAATTTCTATATTTTATGCAACGTCCTAGGGACTATTAGAAAGGAGTAAAGAACCCTTATGTTCTGTGGCGGGCGACGCTGAGCCTTCCACTTCGCGTGCTTGCTAGAAGTTGTGGTAAAAGAGAGCAAGTCAAAAACTTCTTTTCACTTAGCCGGAGCCACAGGGTGATTTTTTCTTATACATACAATAAGGATAGCAGTATCCACACACCTGGAGTTGTTGGAAAGCTGCAATCAAATAGCAATGAGAAAGCCCGTAGTGCAGTACATACCTAGCCCCTGGTAAATGTTCGATAAACGGGAAACATAAGCATATAGCAGACTGGCAAGTAAGACAGCACAGGTTCCTGCCACTTAATCTTATCTAACTTCTTTAAGGTTCGTATCGCTTCGGCAATGAATTAAGGGAGACAATTGCCGGACAAAGTTATTCTAACTGGTTAGTACAGTTTGCTTCTCCAACCATTGCAAACATTCCACATTAAACCATGGGCCATTCATTGTTCGCTCACGATTAGACAGCTCTGCTCTCTGCTTAACCTACACATCCTTTCCCCAGAATCCTCTTACCCACCCAGATTCCGTTTCCTGTTTGGGATCGCAGCAGCTTGGTTCATTCTGACAGTTTCATGCGCTGTCCAGGGATAAGTGATTCCTTTCTCAAGCTTAGCTTAGCTGGCCAGTCGCACGGTATCTCTGTAACACACGTGTGTTAAAAGATAACGGACTATGCTTCTTCTCAGATGCTCTGTAATTAAAACATTTCACTAATTTAATCTGGTCCTCTGGCTTCTTCCCCTTAATTACTTGAAGTGGCTGTTTTATTAGACCCATTTTTCGCCTTTCCCTCTGAAGCCGTGGGTAGGATTTTAGCTAGATAATCTTATAAGGCCCAGAACTTGAAAACAGGCATTCTGTGGGGGTATGTTAATGATGAGGCAAAGAAGCAACTGGCCATTGTTTGAGAAACCAAGCACGTGGGTTTAAAATTTTTTTTTTAAAAAGCCATCCAGGAGAGCAAACTCCCGTGGCCACTGCCAGCAGCTTCAGGCTCTACGGTGCTAATCAAAATTCACACACGAAACTTCCCTGATGGATTTACCAGTTTTGTCCTGTTCAGCGGGCGTTTGCGCCACGTGAATGGTCTACTGCTGTGCCGAACAAAACGGAGACAGTTTTCTTTTAAAGTCCAGAGCAGATGAGAGCCAGAAGGAGACAGAGGGTTCCATTGACTCCCAGGACACGACTGTGCCAGTGAACTAATGAGTCTCTTGGACCTTATGTTGCTCTGGCTGCCACCAAGGCATGGCTCTAATGGGCAAGGAGGGCTTCCTATCCGTCAAGTGTCTGGACAATGGGCCCCTCGTCCGGCTCGGAGAGAGCTGGCCAGAAAAAGAGGTCATTGTGCTACCTCGCGCAGGCAGGCAACCTGGCTAATTAATGTATTTCCAACTATAGCAAAACAAACGCTGACACACACACAAATGGTAATTTGCTTGCAGAAACTCTTAGCCGGTGGCTGAGGCACAGTTTAAAAAGAAAATCACTGAAATTCCATAGGTTTAAAGAAAAAACACCCATATGTCCCCCACCCCACCCCCCGACACACTCATTTATTTTTGTAGACACAAAGGCAATTCTTTAAAACGATGTGTTTTGGGGGGGTCACACCTTGAGTATTTCAACCTCCAGTAAAGCTGGCTGATGTAGAAATATTTGGGGGCAGTTATGAAGCGCACGCTGAGAGTGTTAGCATTGCCGATCTTTAACAATTTGCCCTGTGAAAGGTACAGTTGAATTCCGCATGTAAAAATCCTACCGCTGTATTAAACAGAGAACTAGGGGATTCAAGTGTTTATTCAAGCGAGGAGGCTCTGAGTTACAAAGGATCGCGAACGAAGAGCGGATACTGCCACCTAGATAGATTCTGACGCTTGTGAACCGGGCGTCGGCTTATTCCACTTTTTCGAATGTGGCAACAACAGCAAACAATAGTGGCTGGGTACAATGAACGAGAAAGCATCACTTTAAAAATTCATGTAAATGTAATTTCCTTGGGGAAAAAAAGATATTTGGGTTTTGCCAAATAGCAATGATTATGCCTTCATTCAATTTTTAAAATGCAGAAGATAGATTCCTACTAGAAACAGGAGAAAACTTCGTAAGCCACAAAGAACAAAAGTTCCACCATCCCGAAGCTTATAAAGAGGATCTAGAAGTTAGGATGGTAACTTTTTTCCTTTATCGGGTTCTTTTTTTTTTCCTAAAGTTTGAGAAAAGGAAGGGATGGTTTAACACTTTCAAGTGAAAGGGCCAGCCTGTTTTGGTTTAATAAATAAAATAGGATCACTTAATAAAGAATTTCTTAAAAAAAGAATTATCTTACAATCTGTCCTGAGTCACCTCTTTGCAAACAAAGCCAACTAATCCCCCCCCAACACACACACACACAATTTTATTTTTCCCAGCGAAAAGAACATCTCCCTTCTTTGCTCCAGGCTGGGATCCAAAGTCGGAAGGTCTCGCTCATCTGTCAGGCTTGCGGCAGCTCTTCCTTAAATCTCATTTTGTTTTCCTCTGTCACTCCTAGAATGTTTTCGATGTCCCTGATGAGGGTCTGTAAATGAACGGTGAAACAATATGCGTTACTTAAGGATCGGTGACAGCCTCCTCCTCCATCCATGGGCTCCTTTGTGGAGTTGGTGTGGTCTAGACCAGTTCGGCTCAAGTATGGCGCGCATGGACCCCAGCTGGAGCCCAACCACAAATTACTGGTTACCTGCCTCACCGAGACGAGTGAGAATTTGGAAGCCTTTCTAGAATTTTTGTCTACCCAGCCTACTAATGAAAATACTGGGCTTCTATGTTCTATGCGTTTAAGAGTTGTTTGATCCATTGAGAAGCAACGAAAGTCCAAGCTGGGAATCAGATTCAGATCTCACTGGTCAATGCCAAGTGGTCATCTCTATTCAGCCAGGGTCTCACAATCTCCCATGCAGAGCCTCTTCCTGCATTCCAGAGGTTGGAGGTGGCTACTCAGCCACCTACGGCTCCAACATCTTTCAAGGCCATTGGGAGGCTTCGAAAGGCCAGCGGTTAAAAAATCCGCCCCACTATGGAGACACAGGGTAAGGCAAGCCCACGTATCTGCTGGGATTTTCTTCTGCTGCTTTGCAACACACATGAGCCTCGGGCTCTGGAGACCGGAGCTCTGCAGGCATCAGGCATCACTAGCCAGACACCCGCTTTGTCTGAAACACAGGGAGACTGTGTTCACGGCACTTCAGAGTGACAGTCTCTGCTTTGGTTTCATGGAGCTGTTTCCCCCTCACCTCCAGCACCAGGGAGCTCAGCTGTCTTCCAAGCTGGGGGTTGAATGCAGCAGCTAGTTAAACAAGTCTACTCTATTTCAAAGAGAAAGTTTCAAACTATTTAAATTTAACTAACGGGTTCAGTGGGAACCTTACCACATTGACCCTGCACAGGGTAAAATATGAACTGCTTACAAAAAACAAAAACACACAAACACACACACACACACACACACACAAACACAAGAAGATGGTTTAGCACTTGTTTACAATACAGCATGAGGTATTTTCAGCCCTTGTAAAGAAATTAACCAGGATCGTTAGTTAATTAACACCTCACCTTAAAATTGGTCTCGCCTTGCATATTAGGTGCTGATATTTCTTGATGGATGATGAAGAGATGGCGAGCAAAGGTCGTGAGGACCCCCTGGAGATCCACGCCGATTGTTCTGTTAATGATATCCAAACAAATGAGTTTACCCACGATTCCCCTCACTTGCTTAAAAACAATCACCCTCGCCTTTGTGCCTGTCTGCTGATGGAATTTAATGAGTATTTTCAATCTCACAAGGTGGCAATCTTCAGGGAGATATGAAAGATGAGGCTCCATTTTAACTTGTCAACAAAAAGGATTTGCGTAATAAATATTTTTTATTAATCAACTTAGCAGAAATCTGCAATAGGTTCAGTCGTTTCCAGCAAAAGGCTACTATTGAGCTAGCACACGTGTAGAATTGTTTAATCAGGCAGACGGCTGTTGCTAAGTGCCGTTCAGGCCCAACAATTTGCTCGTCTTTGGTGATACCTGCATCCCGGTGTTCTGGATACTGGGGCTCATTTGCTGTCTCCTGAGCACAGATGATTCCTGCTGCGTGGGGAGTGGCCCACGTGAGTCCTAGAGCAGTCGTCTTTAAAAAGCTTGGACACCATTCTTCAGAAGATTCTTAGGGGCCGGGGTTGAGACGCAGTGGGTTAAGCCGCTGATGGGGGACAATAGAATGTCATATTGGAGTGCTGGCTGCTCTGCTTCTGATCCAGCTTCCTGCTAATGCTTCTGGGGGCAGCAGGTTATGGTCCAAGCATCCGAGTTCCTGCCACTCACTTGGGAGATCTGGCTGGAGCGCCTGGCTCCTGACGCCAGCCTGGCCCAGCCCTGGCTATTGGGGGCATTTGAGCAACGATATCAGAGGATGGAAAATCTCTCGCTTCCTCTCTCTCTCTCTCCCTCTTTCTCTCACTCTCAAATAAATAAATAAATAAATCTTAATTAAAAAAAAGAGTTTCAGAAACAGCTCATCAACTTTCCTGTAGCATTTGACTGTGGCCAGAGAAACAACTAGATGTGAGTTTGAACTTGGCAACACAACTTCAGGGAATTAAAAAAAAAATAGATGAACTGGTTAATGTTCTAAACAATTGTTCTGTCCAGAGAGGGGGAACCTAAAGAGACGTTCTTTAAGGCAACTGCAAAAAAAAAAAAAAAAAAAAAAAAAAAAGAGAGATTACTTCTTTCCCAGTTGTTATCTTCAAGTCTAAGGCTTAGACCTTTTAGCCTCAAGGGCTTTGCTCTTGGGGTCAGGCTGGGACCAAAGCTCCCCAGCCTTATCTTTAGGGGAAAGCAGGGCTTGGTCATTGCCATTGACTGGGTGCAGTTGCTTAAGCTCTCTGGTCTTCCGCTCCTTTTTTCTGAAATGAAGGAATTGGACTTAGGTCAGTGCTTCGGAACTCTTTGAGTTTCATTTCCGAAAATCCAAGGATGGCCCCCCTTTTAGAACCGCTGACGTTGATCTTCGTTCGTTTAAGAAAATAAATAAGAGCCAAAGCCAATGTCAGGGACAGTGCTCTAAAAAACTGATCTGCATTTCATATTGCCTTGGGGTCAGTGTGTATTAGACCCTGAGTCCTTCTTTCTTTATTTTTTTTTTAAGAAAGATTTTTCTTTATTTGAGAGCTGGAGAGACAGAGAAAGAGCTGTGGAAGAGAGACGGGCAGGACCCCCATGTACTGGTTTACTTCTCAAATGCCTGCGAGCCTGTGACCCCATCCTGGCTTCCTAGTGAGTGGTGGAGCCATAGCCTGCTGCCTCCACTGTGCACATTAGCAGGGAGCTGGAGTCAGGAGCAGAAGCAGGCTTTGAGCCCAGGCATTGCTACACAGGATACGGACATCCAAATCAACAGTTTCACCACGGAGGTGGTCTCCAGGCACCCAGCTCCCGGGTCCTGCGTTTGGCCTGCCTGCCTGCTCCTTTTCCATCACCTGAATGGAGCTGGCTCCTCCCAGCCACACCCCCTGAGCATGAAGCTTCGTTCAGTCCCAGCCTTGACCTGCCTTGCCCTTTGCTGTTCACCTTGCATGTTGGCTGGTGACAGAGTCCGTCTCTTTGCATTCGGATCTCTGATTCTTGTACTTCGCCAACATATTTGTTTGAGTGCCTGAGCTTAGATGTACAAGGGGTCTTCAGAAATGTTTATGGAAAATGCATATTATGAAAAAAAACTATGCATGGATTTAAATAATCTTTCAAAAGATTTATTTATTTATTTGACAGGCAGAGTGACAGTGAGTAGGGGTGGGGGAAGAGATATCTTTCACCCACTGGCCCACTCCCCAGATGGCTGCAGCAGCCAGGACTGGGCCAGGTTAGGCCAGGAGCCAGGAACTCCATCCTGATCTCTCACGTTGGCGGCAGGGGGCTCTGGTGCTTGGGTTGTCTTCTGCCACTTTCCCAGGTGCATTAGCAGGAAGATGGACAGGAAGAACAGCCGGGACTCACAGGGGGTGCTGGCATTGCAAGGGGCAGCTTAACCCGATGCACCACAAGGCAGGTCCTAAGATTTAAAAAAGAAGTTTGCCCCCAAACCTGCCATTTCAGTTTGCCACATTTTGAAGTCCCCTTGCATACTTGGATATTGAATCTTTAATCCTTAGTGAGACTCACACTCTGGAAAACGCAAATTTCATATGAGTTTGCCGACTTCAAACGCAGTTGGCTGGTTGTTTTGCCTCGTCCCAGTAAGCCGTCGGGTGGCCCGTGTCCTGGACAGAGCTGGCACGACGCTGCCATGCTTGGGGAGCGTGGAATGCCAGGTATTTCATCTCTGCCTTCCAACTGCCTATGAGCGGTTGCTGTGTGTCCCTGGCTTACGGGCAGCTGACATGTCAGACTATAATTGCCTGATTCCTGTACAAGTCCATAGAAAATTCACATGGAAAATTTGGTCCCATTCTCCCATGAACATTTTGAAGCCCCGTCGTGTGTCCAGTCCACTGCCACATCAGCTTCTTGAGGGCCAGGATTTTCTGTTTGTATCAGTGCAGAACTGTCCCTGGCACAGGTGATTAAATGCTTCCAGCTTTTTCTGGTAGGTAAGTCTAGGGCTCAGGGCAGGGAGGGAGCTGAGGGGCGGACATCCCCGGGAAGCAAAGGGCAGCTCCCTCCCTGCACATGCCCAGAGCTGCCCTTGGCTCTGTGGTCCTTCTGATTGGGAACCCCTGGGGGAAAGAAGATGAACTCGTGCCTGCTGGTGCTGATGGACGGAGGCCTCGTTTCCAGTGCTGTTGTGGGAGTGGAACACAAGGGTGGGGCGGGTCCCTAATGAAGACACTCTCTTAACAAGACTCAGTAAATTTCTGTAGGTTTCTGGGGTCCTGGGAAGAGGCTGGGGCTGGAGGGAGGACTCAAACAGCCAGCTTCTCTTCTTCCCCGGTGGAGGGAGGCATTAAGGGCGCAGTGCTGGATCGGAGTGGCGCCACACTCCACCTCCCAAGGGGAAGGAAGTCAAAACACCTGCCCAAGTTCAGAAGGATCGGAGAGGGCATCCCTGTGCTAACGGTGCTGTCGTCACTGATAGTGCCTTGGTAAAACAAAGGACTATATTCTGCATAGAGGAGCCGAGGTCTGTTGGATGGTTTGCTTGACTTCATGAGGCCCCTTTCTGGACCAAGAGACTGCCCAGTGACCATGGCGGAGAGAACTGAGGCTGCGCAGGACACCATGCTGAGTAGGGGAATTGGCTGGCTCTTGGGTAATTCCTACGTGACCAGGTCTGTGTGTATGAGTGTGAGGTCATGAGGTCTATACTGCTGTAGACGTTAGAAGGGAGAGGAACAGCCGGCGCCGCGGCTCACTAGGCTAATCCTCCGCCTTGCGGCGCCAGCACACCGGGTTCTAGTCCCGGTTGGGGCGCCAGATTCTGTCCCGGTTGCCCCTCTTCCAGGCCAGCTCTCTGCTGTGGCCCGGGAGTGCAGTGGAGGATGGCCCAGGTCCTTGGGCCCTGCACCCCATGGGAGACCAGGAGAAGTACCTGGCTCCTGCCATCGGATCAGCGCGGTGCGCCGGCCACAGCGCGCTGGCCGCGGTGGCCATTGGAGGGTGAACCAACGGCAAAGGAAGACCTTTCTCTCTGTCTCTCTCTCTCACTGTCCACTCTGCCTGTCAAAAAAAAAAAAAAAAAGGGAGAGGAACAGAGGGCAGAGGCACTTTCCCTAGTTAAGATGAACCGAAGGGACCAGTGAGTGCACAGTAGGAAACCACGTAAGAGAGCCCTCAGAGCTGTGACTCTGATTCTGAGTCTGAGCGGGGGAGACAGGTTTGCCAGCCCTGCACAACAGCCAGCCTGTGCCGGACCTCAGAAGGCCTTTTTTTTTTGGGGGGGGGGGGACATTCTCCCAAGACACAGCAGCACTTTTCTAAGCTGCCAGAATGACAGGTGCCTTTCTGTGGTCGGGACATCTGAATCGGGTCCCTGCCAATCAGGTTGGCTGTGTCGTGTGTGGGTCTGGGTTGGCACATAGCGTGTTGTTAACGCTAAACTCTTTCCCCGTCAGTGCTGGATGATATGACACGTCAACTACATTTACAAACTCCCATGGGCACATCTAAAGTCATCTGTGTGATAATCGAAAATGAATCTTGATGTGAATGGAAGGGGAGAGGGAGTGGGAAAGGGGAGGGTTGCGGGTGGGAAGGATGGTATGGGGGGGAAGCCATTGTAACCCATGAGTCGTACTTTGGAAATTTATATTCATTAAATAAAAGATAAAAAAAAAATAAAGTCATCTGTGTGAAATACCTGAAGATCTAAATCAAACCAGATAGGCTTCCAAGAAGCCAGCATGCTAAGACCCAGGAGAAGCGCCTTTGTTGTTGTTGATTGTTCTAGTCTGTCTTCTTAGCTTATTCTATCTCATGGACACCTTTCATACTCACAGCATTCCCAGCTTGTCTCTCTTCAGGTGCTCATATAATATAAAAATAGTTCCTTGTCTGTCCTGTGAAATAGAAGCAGAAATAGTGTATTACCTTGGAAACCAAGGGAAAAAAGAGGTGACTCCACAAAGACCACGAAAACGGATTTGAGTCGCCATCTCGAGCGACCTTCGCGTATTGTCAGGAGGACATTGGGAAAGGCTGCCTCCGGCGTGTGCAGCAGGTGCGCAGTGGGACAGCGCTCGGAGGGACTCTCAGAATCCCTGCGTCAGGCTCATCTGAGTGCCTGTGGACCAGGCACTTCTGTGGGCGTCAGCCAGCTCAGAGTCCTGGGAAGGGAACGTGCTCATGGCCTGGGTGAGTCTCTTCCACGTCAGAATCGGAAAGCTGCTGTTTTTTTTTTTTTCTTTATATTTATTTATTTATTTATTTGAAAGGGTTACAGAGAGGCAGAGAGAGAGAGAGAGAGATCTTCCATCCGCTGATTCACTCCCCAGATGGCTGCAATGGTCGGAGCTGAGCCAATCCGAAGCCAGGAGCCAGGAGCTTCTTTCGGGTCTCCCACGTGGGTGCAGGGGTCCAAGGACTTGGGCCATCTTCCACTGCTTTCCCAGGCCATAGCAGAGAGCTGGATCAGAAGTGGAGCAGCCGGGACTCAAACCAGCGCCCATATGGGATGCTGACACTGCAGGCGGCGGCTTTTCCCGCTACACCACAGCGCCGGCCCTGGAAAGCTGCTGTTGTAAGTCCAAGGGGTAAAAAGACAGGGAAGCAATTTGTTTCCATTGCACATCAGTGGAAAACTGTGTGTTCTCTATAGCTCACCCCACTACCTTGTCAGCTTCATTTTATGAGAGGCAGGATACAATTCTGTGAGGTGCAGGCAACTGGTGGACGCAGTCCATCCAGGCTGATACAGGTGGTTCCCCTCCTTAGCTCCCCTTGTAGAAAACTGTCTTCTCTCCACTGGCTTCAAGATCCCTTATCTGTGAAGATGTCTGCTTTTGGATTATCTTCTGAGCAGATTATAACATCTGCCCATCTGCCCAGTTCTCTCTTTGTTCAATAAAGTCTTTATTGCATGGGGCTTTTTTTTAAGTTTATCTATTTGTAAGGCAGAGTGACAGAGAGAAGGAGACACACACACACACACACACAGGGAGAGAGCTTCTATCAGCTGTTCACTTCCCAAATGGCCACAACAGCCAGGGCTGGACCAAGCTGTACTCCATCTTGGTCTCCTGCTTTGGTGGCAGGGCCCGAGTACCTCCCAGAATACACATTAGCTGGAAGGGAGAATGGAAAGGAGAGCTGGGGCTTAAACTTGGGCATTTGGATATGAGATGTGGGCATGCCCAGTGGGGGCTTTATTTATTTATTTTTATTTTTAAGATTTATTTACTTATTTCGAAGGCAGAGTGACAGAGAAAGAAGAGATCTTCCACCTGCTGGTTCACCCCTCAAATGCTTGCGACAGCTAGGGGTAAGCTAGGCTAAAGACAGGAGCCAGGAACTCCATCCGGGTCTCCCGTGTGGGTGGCAGGAACTGAAGTCCTTGGGCCGTCATATGCTTCCTCCTGGGTGCCTTGGCAGGAAGCTGGATCAGAGGCACAGAGTAGCTGGCCCTTGAGCCAGGCCCCCTGCCGTGGACGCAGGCGTCCCAAGCTGTGGCTACCCCGCAGTGCCACCTGCCTGCCCCACTGAATTTCTTGTTGCCTGGAGCTGCTCTTCCTCCACAGACAGGCGTCCAGCGGTGACTTAAATGGCACCTGTGCACAGGTGGGGGCTTCTCCCCTTTGATCACCCTCGCTCCAGGGTTTTGGCGATCAAGTCCCGAACAACTTGAGAGTTCTGAACTCCAGGCTCCACCTCCTCAGCCCGGTAAGACTATGGGTTCTGCTCAGATCTATCGCCCAACATGGCATGGGAATGTCTGCAAAGCGAAACCTGGGCTGAACGTGGCACCTGTCTTCCACGTCTGTTCTCCCACGGCCTGTCGTTCCTCCAGCATGCCTTGTTTTGGTTGCTCTCCAATGCTTTCAGACTCTTGTTTCGTACTCCTTTGTCCAGCTTTCACAATAGCTGTTGATGAGAGCATTAGGGGGCTTCACGCTGAGAAGGAGAGGTCTAGGGTTGGCAGGAGATTTATGACTCTCCACGAAATGTGACCTGGAATCTCCTTAGCTTCCATCCAGAGAGAAGTATAGGAGTGAAAGACTCACCCAGAGTTGGTTTTCCTTAATACCACATCAAGAAAGACATATATAAAAAACTCAGTATTGGATGTCACATGTGAGAGACGTGAACATCTACACGTAGGCAGCTCATCGGAGTGAACCCCACGTTGGCTTCGTGTCCGCCAGGTAGGTCCAACCTTGCTGCTGTGTTCCTGGCTGCTGGAGGCCTACCCGCTGGAGCCTACTCAGGCCTGCTTCCCCAGGTAGTGTCGAAGGTCACAGGGCTCTGTGGCCTCATTCGCCTTCTCCCCCTTCCACCGTGGTGAAGTTTGCTCTTGTACAAGATTCTTCTCAGGCTAGTTATTAGAAGGCACCACGACAGGGGTGGGCACTTGGCGCAATGGCTAAGACTGCACCAATCTTAGAGGTGGGGGGCGGCGCTGTGGCACAGTAGGTTAAGCCTCCGCCTGTGGCTCTGGCATCCCATGTGGGCGCCGGTTCTTGTCCAGGCTGCTCTTCTGAACCAGTTCTCTGCTATGGCCTGGGAAAACAGTAGAAGATGGTTCAAGTATTTGGGCCCCTGCACCCACGTGGAGACCTGGAAGAAGCTCCTGGCTGCTGGCTTCAGATTGGCCCAGTTCCAGCTGTTGCGACTCTTTGGGGAGTGACCCAGCGGATGAAAGACCTGTCTCTCTCTCTGGCTCCCCCTCTGTCTGTAGCTCTGCCTCTCAAATAAATAGATAAAATCTTTTAAAAAATGCCGCTTGGGAAATCTGCCTCCATATCCAAGTGCCTAGCTTTGAGCACTGGCTCTACTCCCAATTCCCAGACCCCAGAGGGTGGTGAAGACCTGAGAAATTGCGTACCGGCCACCCATCTGCTAGATCTGGATTAAGTTCCCAGCTCCCAGCTTTAGGTCCCAGCCCAGCCCAGACCTGGCCATTGTGGGCATTTGGGGAGTGAACCAGCAAATGGGAGTTCTGTGTCTCTCAAACAAATGAAAATAAATAAATAAGAATTTAAAGAGAAAGCACATATCAGCATAATAAATGCTTTTTGCTATATAAACTTGCAAACTGACTTAACCTTTTAAGCTTCAACTTCTTTACTTATAACAATCTAAATAATATCCACCTTTCAAAGTCATTCCTGGAACAAGACAAAATATGTGACAATATCTTACAAGGTGCAAAATGTCATCAGATATTCTAAGTAATTCTGGATGACCCTGGTCTCTCTAGATGGAGCCTGCCTTTCTTGAGCTTGAAAAGCCATGAGTCGAGGCCGGCGCTGTGCTGTAGTGGGCTAAGCCTCCACCTGTGGCGCCGGCATCCCATATGGGCTCCGATTTGAGTCTCGGCTGCTCCTCTTCTGATCTAGCTCTCTGCTATGGCCTGGGAAAGCAGCAGAAGATGGTCCAAGTCCTTGGGCTCCTGCACCCGTGTGGGAGACCTGGAAGAAGCTCCTGGCTCCTGGCTTTGGATCAGCCTAGTTTCAGCTGTTGTGACCATTTAGGGAGTGAACCAGCGCATGGAAGACCTCTCTGTCTCTCCATCTCTCTGTCTACCTCTTAAATAAATAAATAAAATCTTTCTTAAAAAAAAATAAAAGCCATGAAGTAAGAATTTAAAATGAGATTATTTGATCAGCCTCTGGCTCAAACACGAGTGGGCAATTGCTCTAAATGCGCAGTTTTATAAAGGAAGTGAACGAGAGACAAAGGGAACACAGGGTTCTAGAACAGTTCTGAGACCCGAGTGGGCTCTTACCCCGTGAGCTGAGATGTCCCTGCAATTAGGCCTGATTCCGTGCGCTGGCTGGGGCTCTCTGAGACACTGCTCTGGGCTCCTCGGCTTGGGTTTTCTGAGTTTATATCTTGTCCACGATCACCATCGGCCATGTCTGCAGTGGGCCTTATAGACTGTGCCTTCCTGGGGCCGGCACTGCGCCCTAGCGGGTAAAGGCCTCTGCCTGCAGTGCCAGCATCCCTTATGGGTGCCAGTTTGAGTCCCGGCTGCTCTACTTCTCTACTTCCCAGCTCTCTGCTATGGCCTGGGAAAGCAGTGGAGAATGGCCCAAGTCCTTGGGCCCCTGCACCTACATGGGAGACCCGGAGAAAACTTCTGGCTCCTGGCTTCAGGTTGGCTCAGCACTGGCTGCTGTGGCCATTTGGGGAATGAACCTGAGGATGGAAGACCTCTCTCTCTCTCTCTCTCTCTGTCTCTGCCTCTCTGTAACTCTGCCTTTCAAATACATAAATAAATCCAGAGAGAGAAGAGAGAGAGAGACTGTACCTTCCTTAGCAATATTAAACCTTTCTCATCCACTTCCTGCCTGCAGGTGGTTGAGGGTTGTTTGAAGTCCTGGGTGCTGTCAGTCTCTTTTCACACACACTGATACGGTTGAGCTCTCTCAGAAACTTACGTATTTCAGCTGGCTACAGGTACCGACAACTACATCTGCAGGTCTTTCCCAGGTATACTTAGGTTTTCTGTTTTTCTTTGCCTCCCTCTCTTTTAGGGTCAGGTATCCTCAGCAAGCCAGGCTCCAGCAGGAGACCACGCCCTTCGTCTCTTCTCCCCGATCCACTCGAACGTAGTTGCTGGGTGCATGATGCTCGCGGGACATTTACTCGGAGATTTGTGATACTAGGTTCTAGCCACACTGTATGGTACATTACCCGTGTTTTAAGACTAACTTTCTAAAGTTTTATTTAATTGAAAGGCAGAGAGAGAGAGATCTTCCATCCGTAGTTCATGCCTCAGCTGGCTGCAATAGCCAGGGCTGGGCCAGATTAAAACCAGGAGCCAGGAAATCCAATCGGGTGCCCCACTTGGGACTCAAGTACTTGGGCCATCACTTGCTGCCTCTCAGGCGCATTAGCA